GGGCCACCCCTGCATGGAAAGCTGACAAGCAGTCAGAGGGGAGTCATGGTGCTCTACAACTCTCCTGATAAAAGTGTCCAACTGGAAATGCTTATTGTGCAGTGCATCTGTCTTAAAGAGTTTATGCAGTCAAAAATACCTTTCAATTTCAATGTTTAAGATAAAAAAAAAAAAAGCCCCATCAAAACTAAGCATCAAAAGTCAAAGTCCTAGGCAAACTACTTGGTAAATGTTTTTTCTGGAAAGAAGGCACGGATTGGACTTGTATAGCAGCCAATACACCTTAAGAGACTTATATTGGTATTAAATACAACACAGTAGATCTTGGGCCTTCCACAGTACAGGAGCCAGGACTGCTACAGAGACCAGAAGTAAACAAGCTGCTGCCTCCTTCCATCCCACAAGGAGCAACTGCTGCCAACATGTTCCATACTCGGCTGTACAGCAGGAACAGTTCCAGTTCTCCATTTGGTTTGTGACAGGCACAAGGAGATCTGAGGCTGATTGGGCTGCCTTTCATGATCTCAAGAAGACAGAGGGGATAGGGAGTGGCCCTCCAGCCTCAAAATACATCCCTCTGTCATACATAATTATAACATGTAACATGATAGGTTTGGGTTATAAATGGCCAACTGAAATGCCTTTCACAGAATGGGGTCACATTGGAAGGGACCACAGTGGGTCTCATCTAGTCCAACCTCCCTGCTCAAGCAGGGTCATGCCAGAGCATATGGCACAGGATTGTGTCCAGATGGGTCTGGAATATCTCCCATTAGGAAATATTCCAGTGAGGGAGACTCCACAGCCTCTCTGGGCAATCTGTTCCAGCGCTCAGTCACTGCACAGGAAAGAAGTTCTTCCTCATGTTCAGGTGGAACTTCCTGGGCATCGATTTCTGCCCATTGCCTCTTGTTCTGTTGCTGGGCTGAGCCTGGTCCGTCCTCTGACAGCTCCCTTCAGATACTTGTGTACATTGATGGATTCCCTCTCAGTCATGTCTTCTCAATCCTGAACAGGCCCAGCTCCCTCAGCCTTTCCTCATTACTGAGGTGCTCCAGTCCCTCAATCATCTTTGTCACCCTCCACTGGACCTGCTCCAGGAGCTCCATGTCTCCTCTTGTCCTGAGGAGCCCAGAAATGGACACAGCACTCCAGGTGATCCTCATCAGGGCTGAATAGAGGGACAGGATCATCTCCCTGACCTGCTGGCAATGCTCTTCCTAATGGATCCCATTAGCCTTCTTGGTCCCCAGGACACACTGCTGGCTCATGGACAGCTTGTTCTCCACCAGGTCCCCAGGTCCTTCCCCACAGAGCTGCTTCCCAGCAGGTCAGCCCTCAGCCTGTCCTGGTGCCTGGGGTTATTCCCCCCCAGGTGCAGGGCCCTGCACTTGCCTTTGTTGACTTTCAGACAGTTCCTCTCTGCCCATCTCTCCAGCCTGTTGAGGTCCTTCTGAAGGGCTGCACAGCCTTCTGGGGTATCAGCCACTCCTCCAGCTTTGTGTCATCAATGAACTTGCTGAGGAGGCACCTCCACCTTCATCCATCATTGCTGAGTAAGTTAAACAGTCCTGGGCCCAGTATTGAACCTTGGGGGACACCACCAGTGACAGACCTCCAACTACACCCTGTGCTTGAGTACAAACCCTCTGGGATCTGCTGTTCTGCCAGTTCTCAATCCATCTCACTGTCCACACTTCCTCAGTTTGCCTGTGAGGATGTTGTGACAATGTCAAAGCCTTGCTGAAACTGAAGAATTTCACCCCTGAGAATTTCCTGGGTTTGGTGTTTTTAGGGCCAGAAAGTAAGTTTTCTACATATAATGACAAAATGCAACATATGCTTCCTACTGGCATATAAAATCCAGTAACATGCATAAATTAAGAGCTATCATGGTTTGAGAGTAAAGAAAATATAAATAATTGATGTGAATGACGCACATGAAGACAATTATGAAGAACTTAAGAGTGAATCAGTATAAAAGAAGTATTTGTACCATTTGAGTATCTTCAAATATGTTTCAGACAAAATACATCTTTCAGAAGTTAGGTGAATGGAAATAGTCCACTAAAAGAAAAAGGAAGGTGCTTACTACAGCTTAGAACCAACTGCTACTGTATTTCTGGGATAGGTATTTCTTTTTTAACTTATCCCATTCCTTTGCTACTGATCTCAGTAATCCATTCCAAAATGAGGTCTGATAAATTATAATTCACTGTAATAATCTACTGTCATATAATAAATATATATACAAAAAAGTAGCATTAGCTCTTCCTACAGCATAAGTTATTGTCATTGAATTATAATTATTACAGGTAACAGTCAATAACCAACCAAATAATGATAATAACAGCAACAATTAAAAAACCCCTGCTAATTGGAATGGTTCACACCACTCATAGCAAAATTTCAGGATATGCACTCTTGTATCTAAACCTCAATGGAACATCACAATAACAAGGCCTTCTAAGACTACATAAGAGACTATTAAACATTTAAGAAATACAAGACCCTTTCTGTTAGAGTACATTTTAATATAACCATACATTCAAACATGGAAAAAACCCCACAAGGTATAATTAAATCTAACAAGAACAAGAATTAAAAGTACATGCAAACTAATTACAGCATTACAACCTAATTACTAATACTCCACAGCAAGTAAATTTAATTGTAAATGAGTTTAGCTATGCATTCTAAATAGGAAGCCAGCATACACATCCATCATTTTAGTAAAAAAATTAATGAGACTGAACAATAAAATTGATAAAAGATCACGGAAGTGAATTCTTACAGTGTATGTTTCAACATAAAGCAAAACTAGCAAAACAAGAACCTTACAGTATAAAAAACTTCTGCAATTTTGGTATCTCTTCTGTTCTCATAAGGAATTTATTTATAGCTGTTGAAAAGCTATATAACCACAGAGGTATCAGAGAGAAGAAAACCCACAGGTCTCAACTTTTGCAGAACTAAACAGAGTTTGACTGATTTGTGATCAAACCTATCATCCTGTGGAGGAGGAAAATTGTCCTGTGCATACTTCTGGATGATTTAAAACACTGCATTTCTTGGACAACGAGTCCGTTTTCCTTGACAGATGCCTAGGATGCATCAGCTGAAAACTGCTTCCCCACAGTCCATCTCCTGACTAGACAGGAGAGATGTGCTCATTTGGTCACTCATGTGGACAAACATCGACACGCTAATATTGCACAGGAGCTTCAGGAACAGACAGTCAGCTTTGAGGTAGCTGTTGGAGCTGAGAAACTGTTAAATGTCATTGAAAAGACAAGTTTTCACACACAAAATAGCAACTTCTTTTTTTTTTTTTTTTGTTCACACTGGAAAGTGGGCAGTCCTAAAGGGAACCCCTCCACCCCCAAAAAAGAGGAAAGCACTATATAAGGATTGCAAGATGTTTCTCTGCCATACCTACAAGACCCCAAAGGACTGCTACAATCCCTCTTCCATACTACCTCTTTTTTTTTAAATTTCCCTAATGGAGCTGATCCTGACCTAATTTCAAAGTTTTTTTGTACAGACAGTATTGTCTTGTCTGTACTTTAAATGCCCAGCTGCTTTCTGACATTGTGAAAGAAAAGTGGACACTCTGAAAACCTTCTCAGAGAGATATTGCTCCTAACTGTACATTCCAGATTCAAGTGTCACCGTTTCCATTGCAGCAGTGGAGACAGAACGGCCACCAGACAGAAATATTTCCTCTCTGCAAAGGAAGGTGTCTGCAGCTTGCACAGGTAAGCTTAAAATTACTACTTTGTTTTACCTGACAAAATTTGGTCACTGATATAGAAATTATCATTAGACTTTTAAATGAGTAGATTCAACAACTGCCTTGTGAATTTAACTCATCATAATAAAAGAATTCAATACATTTTGGTTCAACAAGACAGGAACTCAGTGCACACTAAACTGCAACAGCTATGAAAGTTAATTTTTTAATTTAAGTTTAATTTGCAAGATGTCAAATACTGCTTATAGCAGAGTTTTAAAACTTAGTATCTGGGCTTTTTATCATACCTACATGGAATCCTCTTTAGCATCTGAGTTCATTTGAGCATCTGAGTTCATTTGCTTACAGCTCTCTAAAAAAATTATTATCTGTCTGTAAATTTGAAATCTCTTAATTTGTTCCATATGATTTTACATGAAACAAAAGCTAACTAGGATACACTGCACTGAAAGGTATGTATGCATACAACAGTAAAAGCTCTCCAGTACAGGTTAGTAAGCTGAAATACCAGTTTTTATACATAGTCATTATACAGAGCTTTGATTTCTTATTTTCAGTTTGACAACTGAGAAAAGATTGAAAACTGATCTTGGAAAAAATAAATATATTGCAGTTTTCAATTAGTGTTTTTATATGTTTACAAATATAGACTGAGTTGCAAAATGAATATCTAATATTGGAGCTTTGATAAAGTAACATTAGATAGAGACATGAGCACAAAATAAATGCATTTAGTCAGATTCCTTCATCGTACTGAGCCTAATTTGTACTTAAATGGAGGTACTGGACGCTCATCTGCATTTCTGCAATCAAAGTAATACTTTGCATTTAATTTGCTTATTTACACTTTCACTGGTTTTAAATGGTTTCCAAATTAGGTTACAAATGTTCCAGCAGGCTAAGAAATAGACCAAGATTGCAGAAGTTACTGCCAGACCCCAGCCTGAACCTTCAGTTCCTAATTTATTTTGTTAGATTCTATGCACATAAAATATTAGGACTTTAGCATCAACCAACTTTTCTTCACAAAATCTCAGTGGAAGAGAACACCCAAACTGTCATCTCATGCATATTCAAGACGGTAACAGCATCAAACAGCTGTTAGGAACACCGACAAACAGGGGAGAAACAGAAACAGCTGAGGTATGAGCAAGAAATAAAACACACGTTAAATGAACATTACAGAAGAATAATTTTTTTGATTGTTTTTCAGCTCTGACCATTCATTCAAGATATACTGGCATAAATGAACAATTCAACATGTTTCCTTCAGCCATCTTTAGCTACCACTGTAGCTCTACCTGTCATCTACTCCTGCCTATTCCCTGCTGGAAGCTTTGGAAACATTCTCGCAGCCTGGATATTTTCAAGGAAAGCGCCCACGAGGAGAACACAATACATTTACCTGGCAAACCTGGTGACTGCAAATCTGTGTGTGTGCAGCACAATGCCCTTCCTGGCTGCCTACTTTGCAGGGGGGAAGCGCTGGAGCCACGAGTCCGTGGAGTGCAGGATAGCACATCGCCTCGGGACGCTGGTCATGCACGTCTGCATGTACGTGACCATCGTCATCCTGTGCTCCATTGCTCTGAGCCAGCATGCAACGCTGAAGAAGAGCAGTGACACACAGTACTCCCAGGCAGTGAGTGAAAACTTCTCCAGACGTTTGCTCCAAGCGTTCCGTAAGCCAAAATTCGCCAAGTGTTTGTGCGTCGCTATATGGCTCACTGTGCTCTGCATAACAGTAACAGCTATAACATACGATGTCCAGGCAAGCGGCTCCAAAGACTTTCCCAGCTGCTACAACATCCAGGTAGAAGCTGGTGAATTTACTGCAATGATTGCAGGTTCTTTTGCCACTGCGTGTTTTTTTGTGTCTTTTATGACAGTTTTGTGGTCATACTATTCTCTTACCAGGCATCTGAATGACATACAAAGAAATACCTGTATCGGGGAAAAACATCTAATTTACAGTAAAGTGAAGAGAAACATTCTTGTCATCCAGATGATATTAACTGTCTGCTTTCTTCCATATCATATTTTTAGGCCCATTTTTTACATACTGCTTAGACATAATGACTGCCCAAGGTTAAACTATTTAGTGGAAATTAAAAATTTCCTTACTTGTCTTGCTGCTGCTAAAAGCAGTTTAGATCCAGTTATAACCCTTCTGTTAGATAAAACATTTAAGAAAAGTCTTTATGACCTGTTTACAAAATCCACACCAGAACACCAAAAACGCGACATTGATATTTCCACTGAAATGGGAAGGAATATGGAAAGATTTTAGTAGTCTATAACTATCAATAAAATGATTTTAACTACCTATGACCATGCTTTAATATGAAGTGGTAAATATTTAAATAAAATAATAACATATTGTATTTTTTCAAGTCATCTTGCTTGCTACATCAATATTAGCCATAATAAATTCAATGTGTATATCCAAATGAATCCAAGCAATCTGCACAGTGAACTGTGTAATACCTATCCACTCATGAAATGCAAAAAGATATCTTATGTTTCACCTATGGGAAGTGTTTTTACCTAAAAAAAAATCAAGGAAGAGGGCAGAAACTAGGCTGAAGTTGAGGACCCAGTTCTTGCTCATCATCAAAAAAATCCCCAAGTTTTGGACACAGGTTTCCTTTACAATAAAGGCCTGAACAAAGCACAGACACTTTCCCTGGAATGGCTGAACCACAACTGTGCAACACAACTGATGGCCAGGTAACTGCAGCAAGACTGAATGGAGCAGTGTGAGTCCTCCAGGCGCTCAGTGCCACTGATGTCACTGGTTTTAGATCAACAGCTGCAAGTCTGGGTGAGCAAATATGTTCACTGCCAAAGTGCCCTCATAATTTGTGCAGGTACAAACTCAGAACCCAAAACTTCTGTCCTTCCTTAAATACATTTTATAGGGAATGTAACTGCAGTTGGTAGGATTCCTCAGCACAGAGGCTGACTGCAGTTGTTTCTCTTAACACAGTTTTTGATTGCAGCATAGGCTGAAATCATTCTTTCTCCAACTCTTTTATACACTGTGATAGACTCTTAGCAAGATCTCAGCCCAACATTTCTACATAGTGTCCAAAAATTATACATGCCTTGCTTTTTTCCTATGTAGTCTGTTCAAGATTATGTCTCCTTTAAATTTTTTTATTTGCATCAAACTTCTTCTTGTTTTAAATGCTGGAAAAGCTTTTGTGCAGTACAGGCAATTTGAGAAACTACAAATTGAGTACTACATCCATCTAGCATTGGGCAGAATAGTTCATGGAGGAAAAATCCCAGAAAATTTGAAAGGCATGAGGGAGAGAGAAAAATACTACAGCATAACACAGCTGATGTGGTAAACTTCTTGCATTGCTTAGACATCCTGGTGCCAAATCAGAAGTTAGAAGGTGACTTATCAATTGCATAATAATTAAAAAAACAACAACTCATTTCCATGAACACAAAATCCTAAGGTAAATATGCACAGCACACAGTTTGAAAAGCAGCCTGAAGACTGCAAGTGCCTGCCTACTTTTTGGTTAACCCGTTCCAATGTGCTGCGTGGGCAGCCAGCTCATCGATCGGAAGACACACGTTTTCTACTGTCTGGGCAAATGACTGAAATACATAAACCTACTGACCAGAAAGCATTAAATATTGAGATCTAAGAAGGCCAAGCAGCGTAAATATAATTCTCAGCAAAACTGCTTCTGATCACCCAGTAAACAGCTAAAGGTACACTAGGAAAAGGGCTGGACAAAACAGAGGGACTCTGAGATAGGAAGCAGAGGACTAGACATAAACAGGAAGAAAAGTGCATTGCCTGAATAAACACTGAGAAGAAGTACTGAAAGCCTTATTCTCTCAACTTCTGCATGGAACGAGGAAGAGCTCCTCAGAAAAAACATGGCCAGGTAGGACACTTCAGTTCCACCCCTGTTAGTGATTTTGCAGTCTTAATAACTTTTTAACAGTTTAATATGTAACAAAATCCTCCTCACCAAGCAGTTGCTACTGGATCTCAAGGATCTAATAACTTCTTAAAAATACAGAAGAAGCACCAGTTATTACTGAATGCTCTCAGAAAGCAGAAAAGAAGTTTCAGAACAAAGTGAAAAGAGTAGAAGGAAAGCAACACACAACAGATTTCTTGTTTTGGATATTCAAAGACTGGAAAGAGAAGATGGTCTTACAGAATAGCTTCTATTCTGATAATTTTTAATGTAATTGAATACAGAGTTATAAACACACAAATATATGCACACTAATTTCACTCATTTCCCAGATAGCCTAAAAGCAGAAGTGTAAGAGTATTAAACTCTGGCAAAATCTGAAGTGCTGAACTACAGCCAGTGAAAGGCAATGAAAGACAGAAGTGGTAACTGAGCAGACTCTCAGAATTCATATGGTTAATTAAGTTCTGTACAGTGCAAAAATCAACATGCAAATCTATGCACAGATCAAGACTCAAGTCACCTGGACCAACCCAGATTTGTGTATGTCACACAGCCCAGTGCATAAGGCTTAGTCCTGGAAAAAGGTTTTTATTCCCACTCACGAGAATATTGAACTGAATCTTAACAGCAAAGAAGGCAGACTTCATGTATTTTGCTTAAGCACTTTCATCTATTCAGATGACCACGTTGTAAACAAGCATTCACACCTACCAAGACAACCTATAGGAAAAATTGTGGATGTCTGCATTTCCCTGACAAGCTTGCCCCAACTTCAGTTGCACACCAATCAATTTGCTAATCAGAAACACACACAAACACTCAAACTGTGTGGAAATCATAGAACCAAGCTGGAGTATTTGGAATTAATTAAGGAGAAAATCCCAGCAACTAAAGCTCTTGATGTGATTAAACTACTCCTGTATCAGTTTTATTACAAGGTATATTTATAAAAATAATTTTTGCAACTGTGGAAAACGGTACATAAACATCACAATATAGGTTAACAGAAGATTGCAAAACCTCTTGATGTTTCACTGATAAAAACCATTCCATTGCAGTTACTGCAAAAAATGGACAAATGAGACTCAAACCAGAGGAAGAGTTTTACAGGAAGAGACAAGCATCTCATTTCAGATCAACATTACTCCCATTTCCCTTCTGTTGTTCTCTTACATAAATATTATTCTGTTTACAAACTGCTCTGCAATAACATTCTGTATTGGAAAAAAAACTCCCTTTCAATGCTGCTACTTTTGGTAGCCATCATTTGGGTATTTCTGACACAGCAAGGTGACTACAGGTCATCTTGTGAAAGCTTTATGTTTTAATTCTGTCATCAGAGGTGAATCTAAAGCATATGGGAGTTTGCCACAGGCTGCCCAGTGCTCCAGAAGCTTTTGGTACATCTTGTCATTTGGAGAAGTCAGGCTCTTCCAAATCAGTCAGGAGCCAAAAGACCACAAAAGTGGCTAAAAGCCACCTAATCCTTACATGGGCTATAACGTGCAAATTTTCCTGTGCATCAGATGGTGATCAAATATTCTGCAGTTCAAAATAACACTCACAGAAAAGCTTAAAAGGTAAAAGAAAAAAATGTAGTATGACTTTATCAACCTTACAGATTTTATAAATGCACTTCATTCGGGTAATTTGGAAACTGGTCATTTAGCCTACTTCCTTTCAAAACACTGCCTACAGTGACATCTAGAGCTGGGATACTGCACTTAGCTTAATGTGTTCTACACCCAAACCCTGTAGTTGTGCACTGCTTTTGCCAACATGAAACACTGTTGGTTTACACTGCTTTAGACTGACACGTTAAACATTTTTTTCTAACCCATGTAATCGAACAGCATTATTTCTAAGGATGGTATTTCAAAAAACCCTGTGATTCTGGGGTTTTCAGGGACTGGACAAGCTCTACAATAAATTCCCACTTTACACACAGTGAAATGGGTCTCCCACAGAGGCCCTTGAAACTGAAATTTGTTTTCGTTTAAGTATATTGTCCAACAAAACCAAGAGGAGCTTTCAGAAAGACACAGCAACACAAAGATGATGTTCATTCAGAAATTCTTATGTGCTACCAAAAATGAACAATTAAAAGAATTCAAAGCCTTCATGACAGAACATGATGAGACATTCTACCATGTTGTGAGGCCATCCTTAGGATTTGACATAAGAAATTACTTTTAAAATACCAAACTTTAAAAAACTAAAAAGCCTATTATGCAATAATTTTCATGACTTATTAAATGAAAATCATCAGCCCAGTGTCTGTACTCTCTTCCCTCACAACACCTGGAAGAGTTTGAATCTTCTCTTACCCACTGAAGTCCAAGATTCACTTCTCAAACTGCACCATCAGAGCTTGTTAAGAATTTTCATTACTTCCAATAGTGTTTGGCTCACTTTGGATAAAACCAAACTCTCAGAGAAGTGGGACTAACTATTTTAGGGAATGACATTAACAAAGAAATTGTATACTCGAATTGAAGACTGTCAAACCCATTTCAGTTAAAACTCCCAATTACTTACATTAAAATACTTTGGGATGAACTACTTCCATAAATATTGACAGAAATAGTACAAAATTCAACAGATCAAAAAGAGAGTGTACATAGGCTGTTGTCAAACACTGCATTTCTCCTCACAAACTTGTTTATATTAGAGAAGTTTTCATAATAATGTTTAAGACTGCCTGCAAAAAGTAGATAATGCTACCAATATTGTAGCATTTAAGCATGTGCATCTCTCTGAAATCTTAGCGTGGATGAGGACTGTCATTATACTGTCAAATTGATGCCCTTGAACTACCAATTCCAGTTTAATTTATGCAATTAATTTATATACACATTTTCCTAACAAGAAAAAAAAAATGCAAGCAGATTTCATTTGAATATTCAAAAACTAGAAATTAAACTGACTTTCAAAGCAAGTTGTAATCAAATGCACGTGTAATCTGTGAGTACAGACCTCCTAAATGTTCTATATTGATGAAATTAGAGATGGGCTTTAATCTTATATGTGACAATAAAAGTAAAGACTTGCTCAGCAAATAAAGATTCCTAGATTCTAGAGCTTCTCCTTTCCTCAGTATTACAAAAATTGAAATTAAGTAGTTTACACTATTGTGGTGAAGAACAAAGAGTAATTAAACCCTCTTACCTTCACATCCCTGTGAATTATATTATTATCATGACAGTAACGTAGAGCTTCCAATATCTGCCTCATGTAATGACTGAAAAAAACAAACACGTTATGCATGACAAACCTGCAGAATAAAGTACTACAAACATGTAAAAAACTAAGTTTTAAGAGTCTAACTATACAAAAC